AATGAGTTGCAATTCTGAGTTATTTAGTTAACAAAGCTAAATTGAGTCAAAAGCAAATATTCAAGTTTCAAGGCCTCTATTAAATTTCATAGCACTAGGCTCAAGTGACTGCCTCCCCCTCCTCCTTGCTGATAGTCACCACTGTGAACAAAGATTCTAACTGTGGAATCATCTGTCACTCAGTCGTGATGGCACAGTAATAACAACATCCTTTTCTTTTGATGCATCTTTTCATCTTAAGAAGAACATAGTCAAAGAGTCTTAATGGTTTCAACAGTATTACAAGTGACTTAAAGAAGGATACACAAAGACTGTTAACGGGTTAGACAGTATTATAAGTGATTTAAGTCATCCTTACATATGGCATCTCTGGTTATCTTTTGAAGAGGCATTCCTTTAAGAAGCCACATAAAAACTAATTTTCTCCTAAGTCACACTTCTTTGGGCAAGAAACTGAATTCATTAAGTGGCTCCCCAAAATAAGATGCCCACCTCCTATCTCTGGGAGCGATATCACAGCATTCATTCCATAAAACTTTCAAGTTCCTGTATTATGCTTGTAGAATCAAGGTTCTTAGAACACAGGAGCCTTCTAATATTTGAAAACCTTAGGGGTACACATGGGTGTGTGCACGCACGTGTGTACACAGTATCTCCAAACTACTGTAAAGAGGTACCCCTATTTGCTAAGTTTCTAAGAACAGTTCAGTTCTCTATAAAGAGCAGTGCCAGAGGCTGCATGCTTTGTTTGACTCTCTCCCAGATAATTCTTAGTATTAGATGGCTTCTGTTTTTCAGAAAACAGTTCATGGAAAGGTTTTAAGTATATAAATTTGTTTTCTTCCTAAAGACTTAACTGAATTCCATTTCCAAACCCAGCTTCATGGTCGCAAAAAATGCCCCCAGAAACAGAAAGACAAGACTGAGGAGACTGTGGCTATTTTGGTCAGCTTCAGTTTCTTCATCTCCGTGGATTATCCTGCCTCCAGTCTCCTGAAGCCTTCCTTGAGTGACCTCACACAGAGCTCTTTAGCTGTCTCATCCATTTCTTACAAAGAATATCCCATATACCAGATGTAGCAAGGCCACCGGTGCTTGTATTTGCTCCCTGATCCTTTCTTCCTGCTGTTCTCAAAGAATCCAGTTTTAGACCAGGGCAGAGCACTGCTTCAGGCAGCCTGCTTCTTTTATACCGGATAATCTTCATCATCATCCTCTTACCTGTATGCTTTTCTAAAATAAAGTAAAACCTATTCACAAGCCCATGTTCTGCCAAGGCTGTAAGCCTTATGAGCCAGGATGGTGCCCAGAGCCTTGTTGAAGTTGCTTCCTATCTGTGGTTACTTCAGCTGTCATGAGGCATCCTCTTCAAAATGCAGAGCCGATCCTCTTGCCTCTAAAGCTCTTTGACACCACATTCACAAGTTCACAAAGAAAAATTGCTCCTGACACTGAGGCAAGGCTTTGGAGTGACAAGAAACCCAGAGACAGAAGCTACTCTGTAATAGTTCAACTCCCCACTGAATATTGTGTACTGAAGAAGAGATGCCCACCTCCATAGCCACATCGGCTTTTAGCATGGTGTATACAGAAGATGCCCTAGTAAATAACTGAGGATGCCAAGGCAGAAGAGCAGACTAGCCATGTGTAGCACTCAGTTCTCTACCCAATAACCACTTCTATCACCTTGCACCAGCCACTGCAAGTCAGGTCCTCTGTTGCTGCAAGCATTCAGCATGGCACACAACATCACTCCCCTGTACCCCAAACATTACAGTGGTCAGGTTCCTATGAAAATGGCTTCTTTCTATTCTCCCAACACCACTGCCACCTTGGCACATACTCAGCTTGTGTCACTGCTGAAAAAAAGGCAGGAATGAGTGGCCAATGACCAGGGGATGAGGAGCCAGGGCTAAGGAGCTATAGTGAGGGAGGGAGAAGAGGCAAGGCAAAGGGCACAGAAACCAAATGCAGCAAACAAAAGCCATTCAACTTACGAGCTCAGTTGTATGCAGGAGTCTAGGCAGAGCTAGGGCTCTAGAACCAGATGGCATTCTGGTAAGAGCACATCTGAGTATCAGACAAGAGAACAGGGCTGTGGATCAGATTCTGGCAGGCTAGATGTAGCCAGTAGCTGTATGAATGGTTTACAGCTGAGACAAGAGTATGTAATGGAATAACCAAGACAAGAGAAAAATAAGTTAGGAGCACAACCTCCAAATTAAGGAACCAGGACTTCCACTGAAGTTGCAGGGACCAGGCCATGGAAGAAGAGGTACTAATACCAAGACAGACCTAGATAACAGTTCTGTGGGCTAGGCTTTTATCAGATTTCTGTTGCTGCAGAAGCTACTGATGCTAGGCCAGGTGGAAGTAATTGGGATCACCTGGTTGGTGTACAGAGTAGGGAGGTGAGAGAAAGCACTAGCCTCCAGCAGCTAATCTTGCTAAGCGAAGAGAGAGCTAGATTGAACAAGGCCAATGAGAATGTCCATAGGAGTATCTTGAGCCCAAAATGGCAGAGCCAAACTTTGACATTGGAGATGGCCACATAACAACTAAAAGATGTTCAATATGATTAAATCCTATTCCCAAATGAGGGCCCCTGTAGAGAGACCATGTCTGCAATATGGAGAAAGCGTGTTGATGTTGCAAAAACGTGGGTTGAGAAGGAGACAAGTCTGAAACTCAATTCTGTCTCTTACTAGCTGTGATTCCGGCAGGTTACTTAACATCTGTGAGCCCCAATTTTCTTATCTGTAAAATCAGGTTGCCAATAAGTTTTACAATAATAGATTCTGTCATAAGGTTTTCTGATAACTAAATTAGTGAGCATATGTACAGCAATTAAACAGAATCCCTGGCCAAAGAGTCAGTGCTCAATAAGTGATAGCCATTATTATTATTGCAAATAGTCACAGTAGTACATATAATACCATTATTGCAGTAGTACATATAATACCATTATTGCACATGGAAATACTCCTTTTTACAAAGATCATCTATAATAACAACAATATTATGAATAGTAGTATAGGTAACCCCAGACTTAAAAAGCTAATCTGTTTCTGGTAACATCTGAAAGTCAAACCACAGTAAGATAAGGTTGTTTATAATGAAGCTTGCAGCTTTACTCTGAACTCTGGTATTATGCCAGTAAGTTGCATTTTATGCCACACAAATCAAACCACCACATTCTTTTTCTCCCTCCCTCCCTCCCTCTCTCCTTGCCTTCCTGACATGTATTGCCAGCACTGACTGCAACATCCTGGCAATCACTTGGTAGCTCGGAGTTGGCATTGGTATAGGTCACATTTCCATCTCCTTTAGGAAGTGGTAAATACAAGTTTAGGTAGTTACTACAAGGAGAGGGGGTGAATATGAGGAGGGTAAAAAAAATTTTTTTTAAGATGAGGTCTTGCTATGTTGCCCAGGCTGTAGTGCAGTGGCTATTCTCAGGGACAATCATAGCTAACTACATCCTTAAACTCCTGGGCTCAAGTGATCCTTCTACCTCAGTCTCCTGAGTAGCTGGAACTACAGGTATGTACCACCATGCCTGGCTCAAGAGTAAAAAATTTTTTAAGTTAGATATGGTAATCTACAAGTTGTATCTTCTCATTTCAGAGTCATCTGCATTTGTACGATGCTTTGTAATTCTTATACATAAACTATCATATTCAACTTCAAAATAACTGTAAAGAAGCAGGATAAATATGATCTCTGGCTCACAGAAAATAAAACTGATGAAGGTCACGGAGGTTCTGGTGATTTACTCCAGGTCACATACTGTCACAGTATGGTGGGATCATGCTATCACCTGGATCTCTGGATTTGTAATTTGGTGCTTATCCACCACAATTAGTCTATGACCTGTGGGGTTAGTGTAGCAGGTACTTTTATTTTCAAAAAATAAAAGTACTCTCTATTTACATTTGATATTTTTCTCTCTCGAAGGAAGTTCTGATTTCTTAGAAATGTAGCTTGCTTCTGAAACAGCCTCATTTCATTTTGTTAATTTTATAAGTACAAAATTTAATTATATTTATGCTAAACAAATCTCCTTAAATTTGATTATTACTTCAATTGATTTTGAGGTATCCAGTATTTTAAAGTTACCTTGAACATATTAAACTGAAAGTAATATGTGCATTGTATTATGTTGGAAAATGTTTCCTTTAGGGAATAGTAAATTATTTACTTTACTGCCCTCAGAGATAAATTATTCACTATAAAAATGCATTTATGAGCAAAATCATATGATGCTTATTGTGACAGTTTAAGGTTTGAAGGGGCCTCATATTCTTATTTTTTGAAATAGCACTTTTGTTTCTTACAAGTTAACAAAACTATGGAGTTATCTATAAAATAAATGTACTGTTTTATTAAAGGCCTCTGTACTTTGACATATAATATGTCAAAATGGGTCAGTTACAGAACTCTATAGTGGATAATAGGTTATTTCTTAGCCAAGCTGACATTTCTAGCTCAGCAGGCATTTCAGCCAATTTTAAGGTCTTTAAAGTTTTGTAATCTGGTTATCTGGCAATACTAATTATTAGGATACCCAATATCACTTTTTTTGGGGAGAACTCAACATCTAAACCAGTATGTTTGTACCAGTAGCTATCCTTTCATATTGTTCAATACCTTAGACACACACACACACACACACACACTCTCTCTCTCTCTCTCTCTCTCTCCCCCCCTCTCTCTCTCACTCTCTCTCTAATTCCTTTCTCAGAGGAAATCATCTCACATATTTTGTCCCTAAACACAGTTTTAGCACAGATTTCTTTTTTCTAAAGTATAAAATCCCTAGCTGAAATAAATTCCATTTGTTAACTAGGAATGAGGCTTTGTTCACTGCAAAAACAAGCTGAGAGAAGCAGTCATTAAGATAAACAGGAGGAGGGAAACTAATTAATTGGTCATAGTCAAAGAAACAAAGGCTTTCCATCTTATTCTTTGGCTGTTTTACTTTAAAAACAATCACTTACCAAGTGGCAAAAATGCAAGACGGTTTCCAGCCATGGAGAGCTCATTGAGGCTGGGCAGCTGGCAGAGATGGCGCGGCACATACCATAGACGATTTCGGTCCACAGTGAGGTACTGCAGAGAAAGGCACATGTGAAGCCTCTCGGGTAAAGTTAGCAAACGATTGGTAGAAATGTCTAGTGTCTGCAGCTCCTTCAAATCGCCAACCTCTACAACCAAAATCAAAATTAGGATAAATTGCATCCTTATGAACTGAAATAAACAAAATGAATCAGTACTAAAACAGTTTAACCAAATGAAATCAGTAGCTGCAACTATTTCCATAAACATGAATACTGAAGTACAGGATTGTTGGTGAAAATGCAAATAATACAACCTAGGTGGGTGTCTTTAAATTAGCCTGCCAGAATTTCTTAAGTGGAGAAAAGGCTGGCTGGCATGGAGAAAAAAAGAGACACAAAGTGGTGAATCTGAACCAGAAGTCTGTTACTATGGCTTCTGCATCTTGATGAATCAAAATTGTTGCTAGGGTGAGAAAAGAACAATTACAGTCACTTCGAGGAACCTGGTTTTTGCCACTTGTGTGATTTCCCCATCCATCTAAGTAGAAATGGAGATTTTATGAATTACAGCAGTGAAGTAAGTGCAACTTAGATGGATGGTGTTCATATGAAGTAAACAGATTTCTGGAGTAGAAATTAGAATCTTTTGGAAATTTTCACCACAGTAAAGATTATAACAATAAAATGAGCTACAGTTAAAGAACATTTTTAGATACTGTTCAAGCATGTGACTTCTTTTAAAAAACCCGAAGTATACATATCCTATAAGGATTAACGCCAAAATTAAATATTTCCATTTATTCCAAAATTCCCTCATCATCGATGTCTATAGTTGTCATCTGTTCCATGGTGAGTACAATTATGTCCTTTTCATACATCAAATCACTAAGACTTGAGTGAAGATTAGGGAGTTCCTTACAAGGAACTTAGTCCTTCTCAGGGAAAATCCTTCCAATTTACAGGAAGGACATTTACTCTTTCCCAGGACAGAACATTACACTGAAGACTCTACAGTTAGCACTGTGAAGGACAAGTCCACTTTTACATCATGTAGACTTAGATGTTGAAGACCACTGTGATGCCATCTCTTCCCCTTCTCTCACCCTGCCCCGTTTCTGAGCCAGTCCTCTTCAGTTAAGGTTGGCCATGCTCTACTACTTGACAGCACCCCTCTATGTACATTACAGTTTGTTCAAGACTTGGATTAGCATTAGCAATGTCTTCTCTACTGGATAAGAATCTTCTGATGTCTTGGATGCTGAATTAAACAGATTAGCTTTCCTCATTGCTACAGACCAGGTGGTGGCAAACTATGGCTCACAGGCCAAATCTAACACAAGGCCTGTTTTTGTCCTGCCTGCAAGCTGAAACTGTTTTATTACATTTTTAAAGGATGGTAAACAATGATAAAAACAAAGAACATGTGACAGAGACCAAATGTGGTCTGCAACACCTAAAAATATTTACTATCTGGCCATTTACAGAAAAGGTTTGCTGATCTTTGCTATAGACTTTTTTTTTAGTAGAAGCATTTTAAATAATTATTTTACTTTATAAAAGTAATACAAGTACACAATACCCTAACTTATACTATTCTAATATTTACAAATTTGTGCTAGGAAGTTCATACATTACTGCTCAATTTCCTCAACACTGAACAAAACATACATCTACAGCAGTGCGGGTGGGCAGGATTCGGTATACAGCCTGTGACTCTGAAGGGGAGTTTTCTACTTGAACTTAACTGGTGCACAGGGGAGTCAATTTCACACTTGGCTCCACTGGCACAATATTCTACCTTACTAAGCCTGTCTATCTCTTTCCCAAAACAAAAATGCTGCCGATTTTGGGTGTGTGGGGATAAAACACGAGAAAGAATCATCATATTTTATGTCATAAGAAGAAATACAAAGAAAAAAGAAAAAGAACTAAATTTAAAAACCAAAAAATAGCTATGTGGTTATTCCCAGACATACCATGAGCCATGTCGAGACAAGGATGAGATAAGGCCTCTGCCATTGAGAAGCACATCGCACACAACAGACAAGGTGCAAATGGAGCTCAGAGCAAGTTACGTGAAGGCTTGGAGAAACTCTTCCAAAATTTACTGGAGATGGGAATTTGAATATGGCACAAAGAAAACGCATCAAGCATTCAGAGGGCATAGGGGTGGGGCTAAAACCATGAGGAAAGGCATGGAAGTGAAAAATACAGCTGTACAACAGGCTCTCTGGGGACCAAGAAATACCAAAGACACCAATGGGAGAAGAGCAGAAAATAAATCCAATACAGAGACAGAGCATGTTGGAGACAGGAATGATAATAAATACTGGGAAGAGGAGCCTGGACTTACTATTTTGAGAATATTACATCTCCTGAAGATTCTTAAAAGATGAAAGGATGTTTTTTGGAAAGGTTAGACAGGCAAATATGAAGAAAGCAAGGATATAGAAAGAGATCCTAGGCTGACAAAACAAGTAGACATCTGACTAGAACAAAGGCAGGGCATTAGAATTTGAAGGCAAATTCCAGAGGTACTTAACAAAGGCATGAGGTAGGCTTGATTGGATGTGGAAAATAATAAGAAAAAGTCAAAGACAGTTACAAGCTTCTAGACTATTACACTCCAAGTGTGCTAATGCCAATGCTAAAAATTTATTTTTACAGAAAAACAATTAAAATGTCATCAATACCTCTGAATTACATTATTTACAAGCAATGTACCTAAAGGTATCTGAGAAAAATCCATCAAAATTTACATGAAAGAAGTAAAATAATAAAATAAAAAATGATTTTGAACTATTTCAAAAATAATTAAATGTGCCATGTAAAAACATTTTGTTTTTTGCAAAAATTACTAAGGCTTGCACTTGTTCTTCATTTTAAATTTGTTTTTCATTATTGTAAAATAACAACAATATGTAATTATGAATTTAAATTTTGATGAGAAATATTAAAGACTTAAGAAGTTTCAATAAAGACCCAGCAGGATAAACACAGAGACCCACACCTATACACATAATCAAACTATGAAAGACAAAGATCTTGAAAGCATCAATAGAAAAATGGCTCATCATGTTCAGAGGAAACAAGATAACTAAAAATACATAGTTAAAAAAAGCACAGTAATTGAAATTGCACACTAAAAGTATTTAACATGAAAAAAGGCAATAAAAGGAGAGGTACAGGAAAAAAACATACAAGATATACTACAAATGGCAAAATGGTTGATGTATTAATAAACACAATCATATCAATAATTACATTAGATGTGAACAGACTAAATAACCCAATCAAATGGGAAGAATGTCAACTGCATAAAAAACAATATGCTATCCATAAGAAATACACTTTAGATTCAAAAGCACAAATAGATTGAAAAGTAAAAGGATGGAAAAAAATACATATCATGCAAAAAATAACATAAGAGAGAGCAGCTATATTCATATCAGAAAAAAAGAGACAAGAAATACTATAAGAGGCAAAGAGGATTATTTCATAATAGTAAAATGCATAACATTTTAGGAAGATAAGTTACCTATAAATATACACACATCTAACAAGAGAGCCCAACATTATATGAAGCAAAAAACTGACAGAACAAACATTTCAACATGATAGATGGTGATTTTGATACATTACTCTCAACAAAAATAGAACAACTAAACAGAAAATCAGCAAGAATATAGAAAACTTAAAACTACAAAATCAACCAAATGGGCTTGGGCCATAATCCTAAAAGACACAATCCTGAAAACCACAAATGTTGAAATCCTGAAAGATCCAAATCCAAACAGTGTAAAATCTTGAATAAGAATCACAATCCTGAAAGATCAAAATCCCAAAAGTATAATTCTGGAAAGAAATAATTTTTAAAAATTCTTTATAAAAAAAAAAAGACACTTACATACATTTTAAAAAGAGGGTTTATTTTAGAAACATAAAAACCTAACAATATTTGATAGGTCACTTTACACAATAAAATAGGCAATAATAACATATATATTTTTTTGCAAGCATAAACACTCAGATATATTAATCATAGTTGCATGGGTATAACAGTTACAAGCAGAAAAACCATATTCATAAGGAAATATGTCAAAAACCAAAATGCATAAATGCATACAACTATGGTTGACAACTGTGTGCAGTCAGCTTTATAACTGTAGTCAGCTGCATGAAATACTGTGATGAACAACCTAAGTCTTCTGACGAGATCAATGAAAAACTGTGATGGGTCATCACCGAGTATACAGTTATCCATATCCAAAGAGCCAATCTCTTTGGACATCTCTTCATTTACTGAGGAACGTTGAATTTTTTTCATACATGCACAGTGCTTATACCCAAAGTTAACACTGTGATAATGCATTTTTATGGACTCAAATTTATAAAAATGCACAAACCAAATCACAACTCTCTAAATTTTTACGCAATTTATACTTCCAGTGTTGGAAACGATTTGAAGATGAAATGCTCAGCACAACAAACTGGCACTGTGTGAAGGGAAGAAGTTGTACACCACTGAAAAATTTGGCAGGGGAGATTTCTTGTAATTTTTCCCTGCATTTTCACTTCTATGATCTTCAAAACACTCTCTCCACTAGTATTTAGAGGGTGGCTGTGGTCTACAAATTTTCTGAGTATATGCTGTCTATTTGAAAGTCTGGTTATTGCTTGACCGTTACAATTAAGTGATTTTCTGTTTTCATAGCAACCATTATATTTTAAAGTTTATCTTTTACCATTATGTAGCCTCATACACTTAATTTATCACAGCATTTCTGCAAGGGAACAATTTCACTGATCCCTTCCATTGTGTTATAGGGAAAATGGTAAGAAGGAATGACACTTGGCTTTCGCAATACCAAATCTGTATTAGGGTTTTTCAAAGAGACAGAACCAATAAGATATGTGTATAGATATATGAGAAGGGATTTATTAGCGGAATCAGCTCATGTATGAGAAGTCCCATGACAGCCTGTCTGCAAGCTGGAACCCTGGGATATCTACAGTGTGTTTCTGTCCCAGTCTGAAGGCCTCAGAACTAAGGATGCCAATGACGCAACTCAGTCTGAGAGCAAAAGCCTCAGGACCAGGGGTCTGCTGGTGTAAATCCTGGAGCCCAAAGGATGGCAAACCTGTAG